ACTGAATGGATTGAGAAGAAAATGTATATTAGACTGTACTATTTATTTAATGTATTAGGTTTTTACCCTGCCTTTATTGTTTTCATAAATAATACAAGGTGGCAAAGGTACCTAATACTCCTTCCAGTTCCTCCTCATGTTTTTCCCACAGTAACAACCTTGTGAGTGGGTTGGGCTGAGGGAAGGCGACTGGTCCAAAGTCATCCAGCTTGGCTTTCATGTACTTTAAACTACTTAGGGATTATATAGGATGAAGGTATATCACGTTATATTAATATGGCTATTTGTGCCTATTATGGGAACTGAAATGTGCTGAGAGACTGGGAGGAAGCCCTTGAATAAACACTTATGCATATATTGTAAATGATGCTTATATATATTGGTCAATGCAAATATATGTAACATTATTCCGTACAGGACAGGAAGATTATGACAGACTCCGCCCTCTCTCCTATAACGGGGCCCATGCAATTATCATATGCTATGATGTCACCAATCCCATCAGCTTCAACAACATCCTCACAAAGGTAACAAGACCAACAGGTACCTCAAAGTAATATGTGAACTCAATGAAAATTGCTTGGTCTGGCATTTATTGAAAAGGTGTAATATCGTACAGTAAATAAAAGTCAAATTGTTATACAAGAAAAACTCACAGCTCTTCCAAAGATACCCAGGCAGCTTTTGGGTTTGCTTCCTTTTCTTCTACCCTGTTTCCCCCCAAATAATCCCCTGATAATAAGCCCAATCGGGCTTTTGAGCGCATGGCAATAAGGCCAAGTGCTTATTTCAAGGTTCTAAAAAAATATAAGACAGGGTTTTATTTTTGGGGAAACACGGTATTTCACTCCATTTTGACCTGCATAATCATTTTATTTTAATCCATCATCTGGTTTTAGCACATGCCCAAAGTATTAAGTCCTTGTTTGTTGAATGCTAGAACAGACTGATTAGTTATTCTTGCAATCCATGGTACTCTTGGCAACCATCTCCAAATCCAGAATCTGAAAGTGTCTGTTTCTTTCTCTTGTTCTTTCTCTGTGTCCAGCTTTCACAGCTGTATGTTCCCACTGAAAGACCATTGATGGAAACAAATTCCTTGAGTAAAAACTCATTCATTCTAGATATGCATCTTTTATAGAAGGCTTTTTACTAGTTTTCAGAGATGTAGTAAAAAAAAATAAAACAGATTCTATATACCTGAAAACTGTCTACCTTTGATGTTTTTTTAACCCCATCTGTCTCTCATTTTAGTGGTATCCTGAAGCAAACCATTTCTGCAAAGGGATTCCAATTTTGCTTGTTGGTTGCAAAACTGACCTAAGGAAGGACAAAGTTCTACTAAGGAAGTTACATCAAAACCAACTGGAACCCATCACATACCAGAAGGTAGTACAATCAGACACCCACTGTTCTGTGTGGGTGTGTTATCATGTTGCGCTATCCAACCACAAGCTCTGCCTCCAAAAAAACATAATATATGAGGTGACTTTCTGCCTACATTTAGTTTCATCAAAGCTAACAAAAAGTATTGATAATAGGAGAGCTGAACAATACTTCAGAAATAATAAAGAACATATGCTTTGGAATATATGAAAGTACAAAAGAACATGTCTACAACTCCTTAGGGCTGCTTCGTCTTTTCCCTTGACTGCATGTTATGCTATCTGCAGCTGCCATGTGATCCCCGGAAACGATGCAGCTACTTCGAAGAATTGTAGATTTACGGCCCTCCGTGCTTTGAAGCACATTTTTGGAACCAAATTTAAAACACTTCCTTATTCTAATATTCAGCCAAATCCCATCAAGTTGGGCTTGATAGCTGGAAATTACATAGACAAATGGTTACCATTTCATCCTCACCTTGAAATACCATCTGTGCTTTGTTGTTGCTCAGTATTGCAAGTATGTTGCCCTTTACCGGTTCTACCCATTCCTTAAATCAGGAACGAGCAGCAGTTGTTGAATTCCATCTCTCATTACCTGTGAACAGAATGGCCAGTGGTACAAGATGATAGGGTTGCAATCTAAGGCGTAGAAAGCCACAAATGGTCTATCCTGCCCAGTGGTGGGTTTCAAATTTTTTTACTACTGGTTCTGTGGGTGTGGCATGTCTTAGTGGGCGTGGCAGGGGAAGGTTACTGCAAAATCCCCATTTCCTCCCAATCCAGGGGAAAGTTACTGCAAAATCCCCATTTTCTCCCAATTAGCTGGGGCTTGGGAGGCAGAGAATAGATGGGGGTGGGGCCAGTCAGAATTTTTATTACCGGTTCTCTGAACTACTCAAAATTTCCGCTACCAGTTCTCCAGAACTGGTCAGAACCTGCTGAAACCCACCTCTGATCCTGCCCTAATTTTAAGAAGATATGTCAATGTTGTTCTTTTTTTCCCCTCCATTTTCTTTTTGTTGTAGGGAGAGGCCTTGGCTCGGAATCTCCATGCAGTTGCATATTTTGAGTGTTCAGCCCTTTATCATGAAAATATTACCGACATATTCACAGAGGCTTCAAGAGCAGCTTTGAGTAGGATGAAGAAAGAACAGCAAAGTCAAAGACTCAAAAGGACCTGTCTCCTTACCTAAACATCCTTTGAGTGACTCCAGAAAATTTGCAAAACTTCCTATCTGCCCGGAGAGACGAAATCTCTTAGAATAAGTTGTGCAAAAAATAAATAAAAAATAAAGATGTTGGGAGACTTCCCCAACTGAGATGGACCAATATGCAAACAGATAGATCAAGATTGCATATCAAGCAATTTTATCAAGCTTCCTGGATCTAGTGGTTCAATATTCCAACTACTGCACAGCAGTTCACCTTCAATAGTAAAGAAGATCAGAAGATCATTCTGCTATTCAAATGGAATACTGTCAATGACCATGTAGAAAACTCATCAGATATTCAAACACTGATTACACTAGACTAGGCCTACCCCATGTAATATTGACAATGCTTAATGCTACATATCAGAGCTCAATAGTACTCTATTATTTGCTAACTAAGACTGGAAAAATAGTATTTATTAAGTACCTGGCAATTCACTGTAGTGGTTAGTTTCAGAAAATAAACATTTTTTTCAGTGTTAGACCTGTTCAAGTTGTTTGCCCATAATGTCTTACTCGCTGGTCATCCACACTATGCTTATTTAAAGTGTTTCCTAAGAAGCTGCAAATAGATATGAATTGCTCAATGTAATTCTAATGTATTTCTGAAATATTATTTTGTTCCAATATTTAGGGTGGCTCCTAAAAGCATTATTACCATTATTCCAATGTTTGGAATGTTCAATAGCACACAAAAGGAAAATTCCAAAACCATGTGTTTTGGATGAAATGAATAGAAAAGTAAAGGAATCTATCAAAGAAAAGAAGAATAGTGGTATTATCCTGCAGCAAGAAATTATGCTGGAGGCATTTATATTGGATCTTCATTTCCACGTATTCAATATATATAGTTAACATGTTCTAATGGCATTCACCCAAGTGGTATATTGATATATAGGCAATATATATAATTATGATTTCATATTCACAACAGTTGCATCACAGACTGGCTTATTAATCTTATTTGGCTGTTAAGTGTTGTATATACACTTAAAATGCTCAAAAAAATAAAGGGAACACAAGCGGAAGACATCGGAGATCTGAATGAATGAAATAGCCTTATTAAATACTTTGTTCGTTACATACAGTAGTTTTGTGTTCCCTTTAGTTGTTTGAGCAGTGTATAAACTGCTGTATGTAAAGAACAAAGTATTTAATAAGGCTATTTCATTCATTTAGATCTCGGATATCTTCTGCTTGTGTTCCCTTTATTTTTTTGAGCAGTATATGATGGCTCAATCTTTTACAAATAGAGCAATTTGCTAGAAATAGGTAATTTTACCCACATTTGTAAATTGAATGGCTGCCCAAAATGCTATTTGTATGTATTGTTGTTGTTAGAGCAGCATTGTAGTCTAGTGTTAAAAACGCTCGCCTCCCACTCAGAAATAATTCAATCCTAGATAGTGGCAAATGTTTCTCTCCTAAGTCGCAAAGAAAAAATATATGCTGCAAACTCTGTGTGGTGCCAGGAAGGGCATCTGGCCAGTAAACGCTCAGTTCCACCCAGTTGCCCCGACTCTACCCCCAAATTAAGGGATTACAGAGTTGTAAAAAAAAGGGGGGAATTGTTGTTGTTTAGTTAAATTTACCTATGACTAAAAGAAAGATATGAGGGAACTAGATTTGCTTTTTCTAAAGAAAAGAACAGCAAATGCAACCACAGACTACATCTGATAATCTAGGAGCAAAGCCAGAAGGAGGGACCCTCCCAGCCTGCAAACATGGTTCTTCAAGTTGAGTACTTTTCCATCCCAGCTGCACACCTAATCCTGGGGCAACTGGGTATACAGTACATCATGCTAGAAGCCTGCTTTATTCCTGTGACTTTTAAATGTGCTGCTTATTTTTTAAAAAGATGTTGAAAAGTTTTTTAAAAAGCCTTGAAACACATGATTTAAAATTATCTAGCTGTACCTTTGTACAGCATTTTCAAATTAATTAGTCTTAAATTAGTCTTTAAGATACAATAAATTCTCAGAGAACGTGTTTTGGATGTGCCTGAATATGTTATTTTTTCACAGACATGTATTAACAAAGAAAAAGGAAGTATTGTGTTGCATATATAATTCAGTTTATCTACAGGCCATTAGATTAGGGAAGACTGTCATAGGACAATGTCACAACTCATCACCACAAATCAAGATTTATTTTCTATGCAGAACTAGAAATAACACAAATTGTATTTTTCAGCGCCATGACCACTACTACCAACCAGTGCAAAGAATGCCAAAATCTGGAATTTCTATCTCTTCAGTTATTGAAGAGGGAAATTGAGGTGCTGTGGGGAAATTGAAAAAATTAACAGAGAAAGAAGGAATCTCACCATCAGAACTTTGCTTAACAAATAATTTCATTGCTAGGAGAAAAACTGTGACACAGTGGAGGACTCATTCTGAGCTTTGGCTGAATCATAAAGTTTTATTTTTCCAATACGGTGTATCATAAAACATGTAAAACAACAATTGGATAGGAGATGTTAAGGATTCCAGCCAAGAAACCCTATTTCCAAAATAGCCTGCTTCCTATCCTCTCCTTAACCTTCCTCAGGACTTACACAAGTTTTTCTTCCAATAAACTCTGCTAATCTTAATGTCCCAGAGCATCTTAGCCTTTTCATTTTCTATTACTTTGTCTATTTTATGGTCCCAACACTTTTGGCTTGCAGGCAAACACTATTTCTTGCAGGTATTCCAACACATTGTTACCACGGTACTTTGTGAAGCCGTTGTTTGTAATCAGTCTTTGCAATTTGCTTGCAGCAGCAAACTCGGTGGTCCATTGTTTCTTTAGCTTCCTTATTGTTTACATTTATGATGACTTCTTCAATGGACTCTGGGTGGCTTACAACATCCATATAACTAAAACAATTAAAAATATAAATTACATGTTAGTCCAGACTAATAACAAACATAACAATAAAACATGACTGGGGCCATAAACACCTTAATCCCAGGCCTGGGAACACATGTATATCTCCAGTGCCTTCTGGAACCACAGGAGAGTGGACACTGCGTGTACAGAGGTCAGGAGCAGCAATAGAGCAGGCATGCTTCCTCAATCCCACACAATGACATCGTTTCATTGAGGGGACCTGGCGCATACCCCTCAGACCAAATGTTCCAGACAGACAGAAATTATTTGAAAAAGGTGTGGTTTACCATTTCATTCTCCCATTCAATATGAAATGATGCCTTTGCCATTAAAGCTATCATTCACTTTCAGCATCTTCTGATATCATAAAGCCTAGTTGCTTTAGCTAGGCAGATGGACTTTTACATCTTGAATGGTCCTGCTGGGACTATGTGGCATATATTCCTGGCATTCTTCACTCACCCCTCCTAGAAACATCATCCCTATCTTCCACCGTGATGAGGCATCAGAGCAGGACTTGGGGGAAGGGGATAGCCGTTTAGTGTATCTCAGTAAGGGTAGCATGCCCAATTTTTCACAGGCAGTCCTGACTCGTAGGATAAAAAGGGAAATCTTCAAAGTCAGAAAGTGCTAATAGTGACCTTTAAATTCTAGTATGTTTTTTTTTCTTTTCTATCCTTTAAAAACTTAAAACACAATGTGTATGATGTCAGTAACCTTCACAATATTTTTCTTCAAGCACTAGTTATTACAATTTGAGGTCAGAGAAGAGACTCATAAAAATGAATGTGATTCTTCTGTTCTTCTAACCTGATGCCTTTCTTCATATTGCTTGTGTCTACTCTAAGTCGAAACTGAAAACATCTAGAAGGTGCCAGGCTGAAGAAGCTGGGCTGACCCAGTTGTTGAATATACCAGAAAAAAATATCATATCTATCGTATCATGCATCGTGGATTTGGCTGTCTACACCAATGGCTTGGGATTTCAAATGCAACCAAGAAAAGCGAAATCTGAAAACAAAAATAAACGAAACAAAAAAATGTTGGTAGAGCACTTTGAAATTCTAGTTATTGTAGTATAAGTTATCCTACTTTGGACACATTATGCATTCTCTGGCAGCAAGGTGGTGCTTACAGTAGCGATGAGTGGACTATGGAATTGCTGAAGGACTAGGTTAAGGTCAGATCATCTTGAAAATTAATCTACACTGTATATGGTCACTAAGAATCAGCAACCATTTGATGACATATAATCAAATTTTGGAAAAATGGTAGCCCATGTTGGTTGTCTATAACTTTTGTCAGAGTTCTCTAGACTTAGGGAGATAAATACTAAAGCAGAGTTCACATTTTTTGCAGACATTTCATTTTGCAGTTCAGCATCACTTGGTGCAATCCTTCAAAAGTGTTATACCCTATGTCAAATTTGAATTATCTGGAATTCATTGGTGATTGGAAGCTTCTTGATGGTTGGAATGGTGCCAACTCTGTTGTAAGTCTGTTGTGCATGATTTGAATCAAGTGCTTTACTGGGTGACAAATACCTTTTAGTTCTGTCCCTCTTTAATTTGAGGCACGTTCATTAAGTAGAAAACTCAAAAGAAATGAGGCAAAAGTAAAAATGTCCTTCTTTTAGATATCTATTCTGCAAAATGAGCAATTAAGCAGAAAACATCCTAATGCTGAGAAACCACAGCATGCTGCTAAGCCCCAACAGACTTCTAAATAAGAAACTATGATTTTAAAAATGATTTAAATACAAAAATGTTCTTTTAAAGATGACTATACATTTCTGGTTAAAGTTATCTAAAACAATATTACTGTACAATGAATGGGAATCCTGGTTTTCTAGGCATCAATCGTGTTCAGTTATTTAAATACTGATCCTATATTCATATCACTTTCTTTCAACATAAACTGTTCATTGATTTTTTTTCTTCCTGTTATTTTCCCAGAAATGCAAGGTCCACTTTTTCCAGTTTAACTGATGTTGATCCATTTGATTAAAGCAGGAATTGACAGACAAGCTTGTCATCAAAGCCTGATGCCTTGGACTGAGAGAGAGTGACTGGTTCAAACTCACCCAGTTGGCTTCCATACCTAAAGGAGGACTAGAATTCATTGTCTCCTCGTTTCTAACCTAACTATTAGACCAAACTGGTTCTTCTAATTGGGATTAAAAATGGAAGTAATAATTTTGTATGATTGCATGTTTCATTAATCATTTCAACCTTAGCAGAAATATACTTTCTACAATGATTAAGTTTCATTCATTACAGTGAAATTGTTCACGGTAAGCATATTGCTTTTCAGCCCCATGCATCTTACTCATATTTTTAAAATAAATAATATACTGACAATCCAATTTCATGCATATTTATCTGCATCTAGGGCTATTGAAAAATATTTCTGATTGGAGAAACATACAATTAGTCTGCTCATAAAAAAATAGTTAAGCAATCTTTGCTTTTACTACCAAGCTCTATTAATACATAATTCATTTCAAATTTGGACAGTATTAAAAACTTTTTGAAATTAACTTTGTCAAGTAGTCCTCAATTTACAAATATTTGTTTAGTGACCAAACGAATAAATAACGTTTATTCGACGTTACAACAGCCCTGAAAAAAGTAACCTATGATTTTCACACTTGACGACTGTTGCAGCATCCCGTCACATGAACAAAATTCAGATATTTGGCAAATAGAATTTATTTATAACAGTTGAAGTGTCTGAGGTCATGTGATCACCTTTGGCTATCTTCTGACAAGCAAAGTCAATAGGGAAGTCAGATTCACCGAACAACTGTGTTACTAACTTCATAACTGCAGTGGTTCACTGTGGCAAGAACGGTATAAAATGCGGCAAAACTCACTTTTTCCGTCTTGCTTAGCAGCAGAAATTTTGGGCTCAAATGTGTCATAAGTAGTGGACTATCTACAACTGAAATATTGCTCAGTCAGATTTTCTCAACTCTGCCTCAAAAAATATTAGGGTAACATCTCTTTTTTGTGAAAGGCAAAACATTGATTCTAAAGCAATTATGCAATAACAGCTATCAGCAAAATCTAATTAGCTTTGTTAAATAGGTGTCAGTCTATATACCCCCCCTTCTTTAAAACGCTTTATGTAGAGATTTTGAAACGTGAGGCATTTTTTTTTCTTGTAGCACTTTCTGAAAGCCGACTCCAAAGCAAAGGTCCTCTCATTACGCTCATTTGCGATCCAGAATTGTGACAAAAAAACGGCTATGCCCGATCAGGATTGTTGGGCAAGAGAACGGGTAGCGAATGCAAACCAGCCAAAGCATTTTTTTTTCTTCTTCTTTATTTAGTGTAGCAATTTTCAAATTGTCTCCTAGAACTTAAAACGATGCGGTAGAATCAGTTATTTGTCAGTTACTGAAAGAAAAGCAAAAGTTGGAGAGAGCGGCTGTCCCGCCCTCCCGCTCGACTCTTCGGTAAAGATGAGGAAAAAGACACTAAGGGCTGCTCTTAATAGGATACAACTCCAAGCACATTTTTTGCTAAATAGGCCTAGTAATGAGTTTAATGCCCCTCATCGTACTTCACTTGGTAACCGTGTCAGATAAAGCTTCTCTGAGTTAACATAAAGTGCGAGAGAATTAGCCTGCGGGCGTAACATGTAAAACAGAATCCTTAATTTCCCTATTCCGGATCAGTTCCACGGAGATCAATAACTCTTATGCAGTATAAACACCAGATCGAACGTTCGCCTCACAGCACTTCTTCCCTCCGTGAAGCCAGTGACGATCATTGCGCATGCCTCGGAAATTGTAATATTCCGCTAGGTGGCGCAACAGAAAACCCCAATTTTACGTAAAGCTCCGGCCAAATCAGAGGACGAAAGAATAGAGCGAGGAAGGGATAAATAAAATAGAAAGATAGAGAGATAGAGAGATAGATACTACGCATGCGTATCCACTGGTCAAGTCTAGGCCAAAAGTAGATTCCGCTAATACGCGTGCGCAGTTAAAAAGGGTTCAACTCCAGGTGGAGAAAAGCGCGCCTGCGCATTGGGGAGGCCTTGCTTGTTGGGAGGGGTCAGAGAGGGAAGGGTATGCCGCGCAGGCGCAGTATGGCGGCCGAGTATGTGTGTATGTGAGAGTCTGACGGGTTCAAAATGGCGGCGGCGCCTGCTTCTATGTGAGGGAAAGAATCTGGGGGCGGCGGGAAGGGAAGGAGGGCGAATGACGGTGGGGTTGAGTGATTGACCGGTGGGGCGCTACCAGGCCTCGAGAACCGACGCGAGGGTGCCTAGTGGCCTTTTGTAGTGGGAGGCTGTGGCTGTGTCCCGGGGAGGGGGGGGTGATAGAAGTGGAAGCGACAAGGCTTGAGGTTTGGGTGCGAGTTCGGGGCCACCCTGAAATGCCCAGGATGGGGCCGATAGTCACGGGGGTAGGGGTCCGGGTTAAGCTCGCTGGAGCCATTTGAGATGAGCCAAGGCTACTGAGGTGAGGATCGGAGGGATGGGCAGAGGCTCGAGAGGCAAGTTGAGAGACTGGGAAAGCTGAAGGTGCGTGTGGGCGAGACTGGTCTTGAATGGGGGATTTCCAGAGATTGTGGGGCCAGATCGATAGGGGAAAGCCTATTTATCTTATTATCAGTCGGACCTGGGAGAGAGTTTAATGTCGAGCCAGGGACTTTGTGGGAGTTTTTTTTTTTTTCCCCCTTCTTCCCTGCGTCGAGTTTATCGTTTTGGGCGCTAAGGTGAAGAGAGGTTACAGTTCTCGGGACATCCTCCCCCTCTAAGCCCGGCCTTGTGGAGAGGAGCCCGGGTATAGTATGCCCTCCAGGATCCCCCTGGAAACCCCCACTCCCCAGAAGGAAGTTGGTTACTCTTTGTATTTGAAGGCTTCCTGCCCTTTCTGGATACGAAAGTTCTCCAGCTTGTGAAGAAGATCGGGAATTTACTGGTTTTCTTTCTTTTCTTTTCTTTTTTTCGTGCCCTAGAAAGGGGCAAAGGAAAATCAGAGACCTGGTAAGATCTAACTTTATTTATACTCTGTAGTTTTGTAAACAACGCTGTATTTAATACTTCCTTTTCTCCGTGGTGAAAACCAAGGTGTCTCTCTGCATTTGTGTCAGTGCAAATTATGTAATATGTTTAAAATCCAGATAATTAATCTCCCTAATTTTTGACTCCTTTTAGCAATATTATTCTGAACTATTTTATTGGCTCTGGGACCTTGGGACAACAAGTGAGATTGGTGTTGGGAGCAAGTAGACATCTCCGAATTTCCCTTACTCCACCCGATTCCTTCTTGCTATTTATACTTCAAATCACCAAGGCAGAATTTAATTCTTGTTAGATTTCAAACTGTGACTAAAACAAGTTAGGCAGTTTGTCTTAATGTGTATTTTTATTTAAGCAATTTTTATATAAGTTACTATTATAGAGTTTCCAAAGACGGATTCCTGTGTTACTTACACGATAATGAATCCTCTCTTCATTCATCAGTTTTGTGGCTTATACATTATTCTTACCTAGGCTTTTAGTGTCAGGCAGTTGTAATATCAGCTTTATCCAGCTGTATAAACTTTTAATTACAGGAGTCATTTTATAATTATGCAACAAAATTATGATTATGGTACATAGGCTTCACAATAGTGCTGTAAAGAAACATCAAATTGGCAACACGTATAATGGTTGAAATCATAAATTGTGACTAGTCTGATATATCTTAAAGTACTAAAAAGAATTTTGTTGCTGCTGTTGTTGTTTTGACTGTAACTATCTTCTAAATATATTACAGCAATATGGATTTAAATCATGGTTAGATAACATGTGGCTCTCCGAAATATATCTCCTAAGATTCCTCACCTTAGTTATGCTTTAAAGAGTAGAAGGGCAACAGGCGGCTCACTTTCGGTTTATAGAACAATATAAGTCAATGGATCACAAGCTTTGCATGATAGCAACCCCCATCAGAATATGTGAATTTGTGCAATTTTGTCCTCATGGGTAAAAATAATTACAGTGATGTTAGGGTTGGACATGAAATAAATGTATTGCTTTTACTCATTGCTTTAATCCATTATTGTAGGGGTTCTCATACTTTGCAGTTACTGCAGCTTCCCACTGTGAGCTTGTATAGACAAAATTAGGAGCAAAGCCCAGAACAAGTTTTTACAGTGTTCTCCTTTGCCTGAGCAAGCCTGATGAAGTTTTTTAAAGACCAAGACACCCCTCTAAG